TAATTATCTCTAAATTTTATAATTGATAATCATATAATTTAATGCTGATTACTTACAGATCTTCACTTAATAAAGATATGAGCAAGGCTTTACCTTTTAATATATTATATTATTACAGTTAGGCCTCTTTAAGTGCACGCCTTTGGAACCACACTTCAATAACATGTATATAGAGAATAATAAAAAAAGTGCATTTATAAAGGTCAGGTATATATTTGGGCCAGCACTTGAGTGTACATTTAAAGAGTGTGTGCACTTATAGAAGGTGCACTTAGAGAGGTCTGACTGTATACAGTATATATTTAAAAAAAAATATAATATAACTAGGAAATCAAAATCTAATATAGGTCCGAAGAAACGAAATTAAAAATTAAACAATTGTTATACTGACTGCAGATCATCACAGGAACCGTCAATCCTCAATTTAATTGACTAATATTGCATGAACGTGCATTCAAGTTTACTAGTCCTCGGACAATAATAACTAATTAAAATATTATTTGTTAATTAGACACTTTTTTTTTACGACTTTACTATACAGTAGGTGTTTAACACCATAGATACTATATCTCAAAAATATACTAAGTATATAATTAGAATTAGAAATACTAAGTCAAAATGTTTAAAACTTCCAAAGCCTTATACGTATTAACTAAAATTTGAACTATACATTATAGCTAACCTCTACGTACCTTACTCTATTACATCTAAATTTTAGCAAAAAAGCATATTAACACCGACAACATCATAGATGCATAATACTGTATAATATACGTATACGTATCTGTCTGTTTTTTTAAAAAAAATTAGGTACGCATTAATTTATATACGAAAATAAATAAATAAATATATATATATATACAGTATATATAATATATATATAGTATTAAATTCTCTAATATATACGTATTAAATCATTTGTACGTACTGTACGTAGATATTTTTTTGCTAAAATACGTAAATGATCGGATGACGAAGTGGTGTGTTTCGGCCAATCATTTATCACGACTGCGATATTAATTTGTGCACATAATTTACTATTATAGTAGTCATTGGCTAAATTTTAATTCTGAATTTTTTGTCTTACGTGATAGCTTTTAAAAAATAAAAGCACGTACGTATGATAACGAAAATTTCAAAATCCGGAATATAATTAAGATAATCTTGTGTGACAAAAGTTCGCGAGACGTAACACGAACGACGCCGGAAAAAATCACGTGGCGAAAATCGATACTACACTTTGTGATACGTACTGTAGCAATAATTTAAAAAAAGAGATATCGGTGTAGTCTTTTTTCCTAATTTTAGAAATTGTTTAGATTTGAAACATGATTGTTTAGATACGGCAGTACGTATGAGAAATAAAGTTTCAAAAAAAGTAGTTTAAAAAAATTAAAATTCTAATAACAGGTAAAGATAATTTTAATAATTTGTATTATGTACTATTAATATTTATATACAGTATTATAATCTAAATATTTTATTATAATATATAAAGTAATTAATATCAATATATATATATATATATTATAAATTATATATATATATATATTATAAATTATATAATATAATTCATTATTATATGTATATTTTTAAATATAAATAGGGAGAGATAACAGGATAATACGGATATTTTTAGAATTAAATTTCATCATAATAAGCAAATGACATATGAAAGTAATTATTTTATACAATAATAGAGTTGACACAATGTTATTAATGTGAGTGAATTTTGTAGATACAGTGATCCGGTAGGGAGTATAAACAAGAAGATCATGTGTAATAAAAGATTATAACCTTATACAATGAATTGTGGTAAGATGAACAAGTTTATCGACGAATATTTTAATACAGATAAGAATAGAGTATAAGATTTCTATTCGTGACGAATTTTTTTGTACCGACATTCGGAATGCTTTTTGAACGACCTTTTTTGTCATTAGTGAAACTTTGAACATGATAAATATTTGTGCGTGCATTTAAATTCGGAATAACTTTTTCAATCAACGAAAGTTACACATGACTAATTAAGAATACATTTGTACTTATTGCCAAGTTGAATTCGTGTAACACGGCATAGAAATATTTAACCGTTACCAACGAATTTGAATGAATTCAGTGATATAACTAAATTAGTCAAAATAAAAATAAAAATAAATAAAAATATAAATATATATATATAAAAAATATATATATAATATATATATATATATATAATATATATACAGATATATATATATATAATTATATATATAATAGCAAAATGAAATACGTAAAATACACAAGAAAAACAAAAAGAAGTTCATTGAACATTGGAATGATAAGAGTGCCACGTTTTTTAATAAAAAGATTCAGGTAAATTTATAAAAATAAATTATGAATTGGTCACACCTGAAACAAATCATAAATAATTTACTAAAGAAAATTTTCTAAGTAAAAAAAAAGAAAACCTAGAAGTTAAAAAACAACGGAAATAATTGGAATTAAGTTAAAGTGTCTGTAAGTTTAAGCATAGATTTTTATGCAAGGAGAAGTAATTTGACATACAATAATTCCCTAGTTGATGGAGAACCGAAACAAAATCATGATATGATACATAACGGATAATTCCGTGATCTAACGAAGGAATTCAAACGAAACCAAATAGGGCAAGTTTTAACGCCGAGGTTCCGGCGTTTGGATAGTAATAATAATAAGTAATCAAAAATATCGATATCAGGTGTACTAAACCAAAATCATCACATTTACACAAAATACCAAACATGCGACAAAAAACGCCAAATATTACTGCAGATCAGACGTATTTCGCCTTATTCTAAAATCTCTGATCATTCATCAAGTATAATGGCTATAATCGTATACGAGAACATTAATCGTACAGCCCAACGGCAGGATGAGCGACAGAATGCAGAAAATCAAGCATTACATTTAATACAATAGTGACTAAGCAAGTGGTGAATGATAAAGGAAGAGAGGAAAAAAAATAATTAAAGAAATTCAGACGATCAGTGACATTAATTATGTGATAGAAAACGCCTTTTTTATTTGTGAATGGTACAACAGATTGTTACTTTAAAATAATGATATATATATATATACATATATAATATATATATTATACGTATAATAATAAAAATATAATAATTCATATTTATGTATACGTATAATAATTATTATAATAATATATATATTACTGCATTATTATCTTATTATATACAGTATTAAATTATATATACGTATTATATTATTATTATTATTATTGTTGTTGTTAATTATGTACAGGACAGCAAATTATTTGATATCGAAAGGAAGATTCGTTGCTCGTATGCGGCGAACGCATCGATAAAGTGATACCTAGCGGCAATATAAGAAATTTACCATTTTAGCCTATATTAATTTAATTCAGTGGTCTACCCATGTGCTCTATTGATAACCAAACACGAAACGACAACATCATGCGTAACCTGTCTGAACTTGTATTCAACCTACCCTCAAAGTCTCACCAAAAATTATCGTCATCGCACATGTGAGAGTTATTGCTCAACATAACGCACGTCATTTATCAAAAGATTCGAAACATTTCCAAAAAAGAACGACAAATGATATTCGACTTTATTATATGTCACGATCACCGGTAACGTCCACAGTAGCCGACTAATTTTCGAATTATAATCATCACCAATATTAACCAAATTAGGTTTAAACTGTTTAATTCTTGGTACTTTTTACATACACCAATCTCTTTTAACCCTTGATCTGTTCGGTTTTTTGAGGTTAAATAGATCATCGATTCTCCTCCACTTTCTCGTTTGACTCACATCATTATTGTAGGTTGTTATTTGAAAGGATAAAAATCTTCTGTTTATCAGAGTATGTGATGTTCGCGTATGTCTTTTCCACTTAAAGAATGTCTATTTCTTCTATTTCTTTGGTTAACTTTTGTTACTTAAAGGATTTCTTTTTTTTTTTTTTTTTTTTTTCAAGTTGTACTATTGCTGTATTGACATTAATTAATTAATATATAAAAAATTATATAAATTTAAATGTACAATTTAATATCTAATTAAATTATGAACAAATCAAACGGTTGAAAAAATTTTTATCGCTGCGGAAATAAAGTGACGATTGCTATGTGATATCCTTCTCAATTTTTTTTCATTAAAAAATAAATATTTGCCAAATATTTATATTTGTGTTTCGAAAGAGGACGGATTGTGAGAGGTTCCAAAGAAATAACCCTTAAACCATGCAAACTTATTTATTCGTTCTCCGATTTAAAGTAATTCAAATATGTTGAAAAAATGACTAACCTTTTACGGTTGCTTAATTCTGCTTTCACACAACCTTCCAGATATAGGCCAATCATTTCTCCATCTAACATCGCACCATCATTCGCTTACCAGAGACATCGCCCCTAATTTCTTAGTGACTTGGTCCCTCATTTTATTATATTTACCCCACTATTTTTCGCCTGCGTTTATTTCTTCCTCTCTTTCTTCTCTTCTTTTTTCAGTTTATCCGTAAAAACTCTTTGTCCTTCCGACATCCAAATAGACTTATATATATATATATAAATATAAATTCGTCGGTCGCTCTGTGAGCAATCAACGTATAGTTTATAAACAACCTGACTTTTTTTTTTTTTTATCTCGTTCTTACTCGACAACTTTGTCAGCAAAAAAAAAAAAAAATTTTTTTTTTTTGTCTTTATTGTTCCTCTTCAAACAAAGAAATTTCCTGACCAACAAAAATATACGTCCTTTTTTTTTTTTCTCTAAGGGAATTTTATTGTAAAAGGAAACTGCATCCAGTACGTTGCCTTAAAAAGTTATTCTTTCATATTCTTTGTTTCTTTAAACTTCTACTTCCACTTCCGGGTCTTTCCCGCTCAAATTTTTATTATTATAAATTATTATTATTTAATTTATTGTTATTAATATTAATTATTATTTTTATTTTTATTATTATTTAATTATTTTTATTAAACAGCAGAATACACAATGAACTCTACTGCGAATTTGGACTACTTTAAACAGGAACAGGATGATGCTTCATGGTCACCTAATTCTTCAGATACATCTGCTCCTCACTCTCCAAATTCGATTTCCGACCCTGATTATAATGTATATCACGTGCCAAGGGGCTATGACGTACTATTGGTTCCATTAAAACTTGAAGATGAACATTCAATTTCTGATGCTCAGGTTACTTCTTCCTCTCAAGGAGTTCCTTTAAACAATGCTTCTAAACCGATGGATATTCCAAAGTGTAAACTTTCATCCTCTTCTACTGATACAAAGTCAACTACTACAACCGCTACCACTACAACCACTACAACAACTACTACTACTACACGTTTGTCCGCTTATCGAAAACGCAAAGCTGATAAGAATTATATTCCTCGTCCTAAAAATTGTTTCATGGCCTATCGTGAACATATAAAAGAAAAGTTTTTGGCTGATAACCCCGGTATGAATAATAAAGTTGTATCTATTCATGCTGCTAATATGTGGAATAATGAACCTGAGGATGTTAAAGAGTATTGGCGAGAACGTGCTAAGCAACTCAAATTAGAACATAAACTTAAATATCCTGACTACAAGTTTAAACCTCAAAAGAAGAAGCAAAATTTGAAAACTCCTGGTAACACTAAAGCTATAACAAAAGTCAACGGTCGTAAAAAAGCTGACCCAAAAATTGTTTTTACTGATGGTTATGCTAATCCTGATGATGGAAGGCATATTTATCCCGTAAACTTGGAAGGTGCTGATGATCAAGAGGAAATTTTTTATCCTCATTTACAAAAGAAAGCTCTTTTCGGACATTATAGAGCTTCTTCTGTAGACTCTGCTAGTTCTTGGACAAGTGATTCGACAGTTTCTACTCCTTTGCTTTCTCCTTTTGTAGGTTCTCCTGCGTCTTTATCTCCTCCTTCTATCCAATCTGGTAATCATTTAGGAAGGTCTGCCTTGCGTTATGAGGCTGCACATGTTCCTCATAATGGCTCTGTTAATGGTACTGTTAACGGTCCTGTTAATGGTAATTTATTATTGTCTTCGGCCCCGACAATATATATAGATCAATTAAACCAATTATACAATAGTCAGATGGATATAAACGCTCGTGGGAATATACCTGTTGATGATGGTTTCATGCTTGATTCATCTTCTTCATTTTTCCAATGTTCTTTACCATCTGTTGAGATGTCAGCTAATGATTATGAATTGATGGCTATGGGACATTATCCTGTTTCTCCTATCGAAGAAGAGAGTGGATTTTTCAATGATTTCGATGGTGTCGGATCTACTTTTAATCAAAATGTTTTTGATTCTTCATTTGGTCTTTCATCTTCTCTAGAGTCTCAATCAGCTCATGATCAACATTATGCGTTTGCTCTTGAAACGCCTAGGCGTAATTCTCAGCAACTTTTATCTGAGTTTCAGAATGGTTTAAAACAGCAAGAGATGCTGTTACAAGGATTGTTGACGGAAAATTAGAATTTGTCCTTTATCAAATTCGGTTTTTGCTTTGTGTTAAACGAGATAAAAAAAATATATATATTGAAATTCGTGCGGGCCGATTATTTTTTCGGTCGACCTTTTATTAAAAGGTCCTTGGACACTATACACTTATAAAAAAAAAAGAAAAAAAAACATCAAAAATTTGCTCTTCTTTGTATTTTCTTCCTGTATTTAACTTTTTTTTTCCTTCTCCCAAATACCCAAATATATATATTTCGCTTTCATTGTGTTTATAAATCTCAACATTATATATATATACATAGAACATTTTGCATTTTTTCCATAGACTTATATACCATAGAATTTCGAGATTTAAACGATGTAAATTACCACTTGGCAATTAAAAAATTTACGGATTTTCATTTCATTTCTTTGAATCAGATTCATGAATTTTCGTTTCTTCGTGTTAGTTTATTTCGTTCATTTCTCGAATTGCATAGACTGCCAAATCTGTAAATTTTTTTTTTTTTTCTTCAATTGTTAAATAGACTGGCAGAAAACAAGCTCTTATCATTGGTGTATTGTCAGGTTATCTTAATGATAAGAATGTTTGTTGTATATTTTTTTTTCTTACATACTTCATTCTCTCCCCTTCTCTATTTCTTTTTTTTTTTTTTTTGCATTATGGTTTGTTTAAACCAACCCAAATTTTCTTAGGAAAAAAAAACCAAAAAAAAAATATATATCCAGATTTTTATTGTTCACATTCTATCTATCTATCAACATTATATACATATCCATTTTTTACGACATAATTATCTTCCTAGTTTTATACGAAAAAATCAAAAAAAAAAATCCTACCCTATATATTCTATTATTATATCATCATTCATATATAAGTATCTATCATGAATCCGTTATTCTTATCTTTCCTATCCCTATCCTCGTTTGTTTTTTTTTAAAGATTAACGAGGCTTGTATTAAGCGAATTGAAAAATCAATTAAAACATTCATCCTTCATATATTCCAAAAAACATCGGGGTTATCAAATAAAGTGATTGATTATCGAAATACAACTATGCATTTGTTCATACCTTGGGTGAATTTTTTTATAAACTTTTTGGATTCAAATGATCTAATTCATTTTGATCAATCTTTTTTCTTGTACTAGTATTTCACGTGCACAATATCTTTCTTTTTGTCCCTCGCTCTTTTTTTTTTTTTTTTTTTTTTTGTCGCTTTTTTCAAGAAATTTGGGAGAAGGATTCTAGTTCTAGATTATGTTACAAAAAAACAAAAAAAAAAAAACTTATTTTGAAAGCAAATAAAAACAAAAATTTTAAATCTAAATTTGAGATCTTATCTTCGAAAATATCAAATATTGACGTGATAATTCTGTGTATCGTTTATTTGGTATATTACTTTACGTAAATTTTTATTTAGGTATACGTATACACAACTGAAGCAATAAAAATGTGCATGTTTATTTCAATACTTTAGTGCAAATACTAATATTAATAATATTCATTCAAGAAAATTAAAAGCGAGTTATTTACACGAAGATGGAATGTAAAAGGGTAGAAAAAAAAGAAAAAAACTATATAGAAAAGACGACAAGTTATATAAACGTCTTAGCGAAGCAAAGAAAAAAAAATAGAGTTTAGAGTGTCAATATGAATATACACATTGATCAACAAACGAAAATTCTATTGTTAATAAAATTGTACTGAAATAATTACAGACCAAAGAAGAAAAAAAAACGTTCGAATTGTTTTAACCCCGCACAAGAATGACGTAAAGAAAAAGAAAAAAAGTAGGGATTTAAAAAGTCAACACTTCAATTTTCTAAATAGTAACGTATAATCCCGATAGTAATGAAATGGAGTTCTTAAGATGTAGTTCTCTTTCTGGTAGAGGATTTTCTTGCGACTCCTTTTTTAGCAGCAGGTTTGGCTCGCTTGGTTGTTTTGGTTGTAGGCTTCTTCGTTTTCTTTACAGCTTTCTTGGCAGTCTTCTTGGGGGCTGCCTTTTTGGTTTTCTATAATGGAAGGCTAAAAGATTAAAAATCAATTATGATAGTTTAATAAAAAAAATTTTAGATATAACATATACCTTCTCGACTTTAGGTTTTGTTTCCTTTTTAACGGCAGTCTTGGGTTTTTCCTTTTTTTCGACTTCTTTCTTTTCTTTCTTTACTGGTTCCTTTTTAACAAGCTTAATAGTTCCGCTTGGTCCTTTTTATAACATATATATTACCTTTAATATTGTCATTTCAAAGTCATACCAACAAACAAATGGATAAAATAATAAATTATAATAACGCCTACCATTGTAAAAGGCAAATAACCCTTTCTCGACACCCTTGTTAATAGCGATACGAAGGCGGTTGTTTGTAGTAGAGTTATCGGGAAGTTTATACGAGCTAATAATATATTTTTTAATAGCTTGGCGACTAATAATGACCAAAACACCAAACGCGTAAGTAAATAAACTCTAATATATAAAAAAAACTTTCTTCGAAAATATTAATTATAATCCACCTGCTTCCTTTACGATCTTTCAAGGCGACAATAGCATCTAAGATTATTATATAAAATAATGTGAAACATAAAATAGGTTAAAAAAAATTCCATAAACGGATATTACATATTCTCGCAGATCATAAATTTTTTCTCCGACATTTTCGTTGTTTTAAATAATTATTTCCCACGACAAAAATTTTTCTCACTAAAGTTACCTCGAATCATATCTTCATATTTTGGATGAGCGGGAAGACTAGCAGCCTTTTTGGTTCTAGGAGCTGAGGAAGTTTTCGCCATCGTTTATTTTGTCAGAAATAAGGTTTGTAAAATAAAGGAAAAAATAATGTTTTTTTTAAAAAAAATAAAAATAATAATTATTATAAAAAAAACGGAAAAGGTCGATTTTAGAAAAAAAAACTGGAAAACCAGGAAAGGCGCTGTTTATATGCAATCACAAATAATCACAATTAACTAGTTTGCGTGATTAATCAGGTGCGCGTTGATCTTACTTTTTAGAGTATTTTTTTCTAAATTTGTAAACTGTTGTTTTTTTTATTTTTTTGTGCTTATAGAAAAGACGTGTCACATCGCGTTTTAAATAATCACATCGCGTCAATTTTCTCTAAATGTTTGTTTATATGCACCATTTCATATATGTACATATTTATTTATGCCTGTTTATACTGGATTATAATTACATTAAATAAGCGCGCCAATATAAAACTTCCAAAAGTGTGAATATCCCAAAAAAAATATTATAATATGTATATTATACACCTTAATACTAAATGTATAGATTATATATGTAATATGTTTATTAATTTATAGAATATATAGCATGTTATATATTTAATTATTGATTTTGGATGGATTTTGATGATTTTTGATAAAAGTAAAAATATGGTAATCCATCTCTCTCCACTTTCCGTAAAAGCTCGTGATTACCTGTTACACTGTTAACCAATCAAATTAAAGGTATTCATCTGCAAAATAGTTTATACTATATACAGCATATATATGTTTGCTTGTTTGTGATTATCGTAACATTCTACAGCCTTATCGTAAATAAGGTTTATTATGTCACTTAAATATTGTTAAAAATATCTCACGATATATTACTATTTATATAACGCATTCAAGCATGAATATCGCATGGTAAAAACTTTTACAAATAAATAAATAGTCGTTCTCTGCATTTAATACAACAATGTACAAAACATAAGATCTCTAATATGATACAATGACAATTAAGTCTTAATTTTTAGGTGGATCAAGTGACTCAATTTTAGCCGAAAGTTCAATAATTTGTGACTGATAATAATGATATAAATGCAATCTTAGAGGTCTGTCTTTTTTGACAAAATTGTCGAAATATATATATATATATACATACCTGCAATTCATAATTTTGTTTTTTCACCATTTCATAATCGGTCTCTAATTTTTTTAATTCCTTATCCCGTTTATCTCGCTCAAAAGTCCACATTTGCATCTTAAAGGATCATATATACTTGTCAGATACTTGACGTAAATTATAAAAAACATCATATAATAGTAATATAAAAATTACCTGTTTTTCTAGCGCTGTTCCTTGACCTGACTGATTTTGCGATAAGGATTCCGATTTGATTTTCAGATCGTCAATAACGAGTGATTGTGAACTAAAGATTACAAAGCATAATATTTAATCCGTGATGTTCCTTAAATATCATTACAAATCATAGATATTCACTTCACTGTTATTCTTAATTGGTTTATCTCTTTATCTTTAGTTTCCAACATCATTTCCATTTTATTCCATTGTGCTACAAGGATTTCCATGTGATATTTTTGCTCTTGAAATTTACGAGTATCAGCTTCCCTAATTATATCAATGTAAATTCTTCAGCCTATATCTACTAAATGTACCGAAGATCTAAAAATATATATATTTACCAGAGTAACAATTGTTTCGTTAATTGATCAATACGATTTTCATATTCGGTTAATTTTTGAAGTTGAGGTTCGGATACTTTAATATCGTTCTCGAGCTTAAAATTCCTTAATGAGAAATGAAAATGCATAAGAATTAAATAACATACGTCTAAACGGTATTAAAATATACATACATTGTATTAGCTTCTTCAATTTGTTTCGCTTGTGCTTTAATGGTAAGCTAGATCAGTATTTATAATAGGCATAATTATGTTAGATTATTATATTATAATTCATTAAAATAATAATTACTAAAACCAAACTAAGCATTAAAAATGAACCTTAGCTTCTCTCAACTGCTCTTCAACTTTGTCTAATTCTGTTTTCCATTCCTTCTTTTCCTCTCTATATTTTTTCAGTTTATTGTTTAGTTCATCTTCCCATTGAACATGTTTTTTCTTTATGCTTGCATTATCTTCTCTTTGTCTATTAAAAGCTGCTTGAGTTTTCTCTAATTGCAATTTTAAGTTTTTACACGCGTTGTATAAATTATGTCGTTCTGCTTCAGCACTAATGTCCAACACATGGTCACGATGAAGACGGCCAATATGTTGAAGGTGCTGTTGTTTAAGATATAGTTCAAAATTTAATTCGTTCCTAAGCAACATTACTTCTCGTTGGAGAAATGCGACACTGGCTTGTGCGTTCGACAAGGGCCCAAGAGATTGTGGTACACTTAAATTTGAGTCAGGTGGTGATGTAGAACTGATAGAATTTGATGAAATTATCTTTGAGTCCTGAAAAGGAATAAATTAACGCATTGAGTGTCAAGGTGAATAATGTGTATATAAATAGAAATTAACTTACCCAAGGATCGTCTCCAACAACAATTTCAACGCCACTTTTCAAAGCTTGATGAACATCCATTATTTCTTGTATTGATATTGCCTGAGATGACCGTCTGGTCCTTATAGTTTTCGTTTCAACATTTGTAGACTCAACTCCTTCCAGTACATTTTTTGTAAAGTCTTCCAATTCACTTATCTGATGCTTTGTTGTAGATGCATTTTCCATATCGTACCCAATACATTCTGCAACAACATCCGCAGGTTCAAGTTTAATCCAGCGTGAAGTGTCAGATAATTCTCTTTCGGCATTACTCAAAATGAGGTTAGGGTGAAGTGTATGACGACGCAATAATGGCTATTGGTGTTAAAAAAATATATATATACATATCATTCTCTTCAATAAATTAAATCAATAATAATGCAAATATATAGCATGAAATCGCACCATGCTTCTCGATCTAATAACATCATCATCAATCTCACCATAAAAAGGTATACAATTCATGTTCTTTATCCAAACTGTGGGATTCCTTAAAAATTCAACGGTATTACATGGAAACATTCCGTATAAAATCGTGAAAAGGTGTGAACAATTTGGTGGAGTTGAAGGTATACTATCGAAAGTAGAATCTGAAAAAAAATAAAATAAAAATTTCAATGGGTGTACTAAATAAAAAAGTATACTCTAATTTCCGACTTATATTGAACAACAGTAATCTATCCTGCCTCAACAGATAATAAGAAACTTGCCACATCTCTCCCAGTCAGATTCAGCATCAGTTTTAGCATCAGTTCTTTGTATATCAGCAGTATTTAAGTTATTTCCAATCAATTCGCTATCAAAATCTGCGCATCGAGAGTCATGTTTATCCCAACATATAATCCTGATAAAGACGATGTAAAGACGTGGGAGATAAGCGATGATGGATGTACATATATGAGGTAAGAGCATAACGAGCGTCGTCAGTGATAGAGAAATCAAAGTTGTGGAAGTGTCCCTCTAGTATTTTAAAATAGTTTAATTGGAGTGAACTACATTAACAGTGATAAAAATAATGACCTATCAAATAGTAATCATTAAATACCTGCAGCGATGTAAGTAATGAATCAAAAAGAGAAGTCTCCAAAATATGGTGAATATTTAAACTCTACACATTTAAACGCAATTTTTTATAAAAAAAAGAAGTCTAAAATATCTTCCAAACGAAATTAAAGATAATATTCTGAAAAATATTATATGAATAATGACCAGTCAACCTGTCGTTGAATGAATTCCCCGAGTAGATTTAATATTTGTAACCGATATTGTTTCCGGATAAAATACGAATCCAAAAGGACAAAGAAATCCTAAATCGTATAAAATTTATTATTAAAAAAAATTTTCTTAATATCAATATATACTTAAATATATTCGTTACCTTTGTCTTCACGCTACCAAATCCCCTAAGTACATTTTCCAAGTTACGACACCAAAATGCATGTACTTGTTCACCCACCACTCCATAACCTTCACCAGCAGGCTTTCCAATCATACTTGATTCGTTTAAATAAAGTTCAAGAATTTCTTTCCTAAATGCCATTGTTCGATCCGTTTCACACACTAGAACTTCGCGAATGATTCCTTTGACTTCTTCAACAATATCCTTTGGCTGAAGTGAAGACTTAAGAATTTGAAGTAACACCTTATCATACCAATCGGAAATAACTACGTCAGGTCCCAAGACAGGTAATGAAGCTCGCATACACTTTAGAAATATGTAAAACTTTTGCGGGTAATCTTGAATAGAATTATATATGGAAAATAATTCTGAAGAAAATTTGTTAACTTTATCAAGCTCACGATCCGTGTTGAATTCTTGTGTTGTTATAAAATTATCAATGAGATCGATAATAGGTTGAATATCAACACTCGAAGAATTGACAGTAGAAGCAATATTGCGTAATATGTCTTTTAGGCTCGCCATATTAAAATATTTGAAGGTACATTTAAAAAAGACTAACGATATCTCGCGTATTAAAGACCAGATATTTTAGACCAAGCACGGTTGGAATAATTGCGATCTTGAAGATATTTTAATGCAACAATCAGAGCAGCTAAAAACATGCGCCGACCACAGGTTGCAGGATCATTATTTTGACATGAACTTTGGAAAAAATATATTTTATATTAGTTCGTGTCACATGCTTATCAGTAAATCCGATAAACGTACAAAAATTACATGTAGGAAAGTTCTTTCAAGATCGTCAAAGAAATTGTAACCTCAAATGGTGAGCCTTCACATTAATAAAAGTAAATTCATTTAAAGTTAACTAAAAAGTTCGCCTAATTGCTCTCTTAAAGAATCGTGTCAATGTTTTGAAATTGGTTCTTACAAGTTTTGGAACGCTCTGCCAAAGTATATAAATTTAAATTCCTTTAGACGAATGTTATTTCCCAGAATGTAACAGCTAATCTACAGTATTATTACATTTTTCTGTATGGAAAGGTTCCCCAATAAGCCCAATTGAGCAATTTGGTACTGATGATGGAGGTGCGTATCTTTCTCTGGTTTGAATTAAGAACTTTTAACACTCAAAAAATTAAATATTTATTCATTCATTGAACAGATTCCAATGATGGATCCTTTTTGTCTACACTGTTTATGGTAACATATTATTTGATTTATACATAATTTTGCAGAAAGTTTCGAAGACCTTAATATTTTTGCGTGTTTGCGTGCAACATAATAGATAATTACAATAGTCATAATTTTCGTGATAGTGGCTACTATCTACCGACGTTCCAAAAAATCAATACCAAAGATCGACAATTATTTTGCACTCGAACCTCGTAATACATCAGCAGATGATGATTCTATATTACACCGAGGTTTGCTTAACGAAGAAGAGGAAGAGACAGCCCCTTCAGATGACAACGTATTAAGAAGTAACGTCACGAGATATAAAGATGATGACGAAAATTTAAATCGAAACGTTGAAGTTTTTGATACTAATGATAATGATAATCAGAACGCAACTAGTTTTGTTGATACACCTGTGACATTCCCTGAGGAACAGCAGCAACGACAGAATATTTTTAGTATTATGGATGAAGAAGAAGACGAAGAGAATGCATAGTATACGATATAATGAAATTGTTATCTTCCCGGATAAACATTGTGTTATTTTTAAAACTCGTAATTTTTTCTTTTGTTGGATACTGTAACAATAATTCCAATGTTGTAAATCACGGACGACTAACCATTTTCATTTTAAGTCTTTTAAATATTAAATTTCAATTAATTAAGGCGATGTCCGGTATTTCGCGTCATATGAAATCTCCTTTAACGTTTATAATGTCTATCCTTTTGAAATTTTATTAAAAAACATTTATCCAAGAAATTCCTATGTCATATTTGGGTTAATTCACTAATGGATTCATCTAACACGAACGCATGTGGTGCTGTTTAAACCTTAAAAATTCTTACCAATACAGTGGATAATTGTATATAATTATTATATATACATTTTTAACTTGTGCCCAGTGGTTAAGGATAACCAGTATGCTATATCTCGAAAATGTGCTAAATAAATATGGTCGGGGATTCTAAGTAAAAATGTTCGGAACCTTATATTTAATATATATATATAACTAGGAAAACAGATGTCCGGAGCATAACAGATAAGTTACACGAATATGCAGGTAGGTTGTCAGTAAGTTTTTCGCTACGCTCCGGACAATAAAGAAAACTATTTTATATAAAAATCTTTTTACTTTAAAGCTGTTAACCACTGGCATAAGAAATAATTCATAGGCATTATGTGTCCGGAGTTAGGGTCACCGCCTATTTGCGATAGCGCATAAACCTAGTTTTCATCGCATAGCATATGCGATACGTAGCATATTTCGCATATTATACGTATATGGGCATAATCTGTGCATAAAATGTCAAAATCGAAACGAAATTAGCGTAATTCGAGCGACGATCAAAAATTATGAAATCATAGCCGCCTAAGTGAAAATTGTTCCTGGGCCAATTTTTTTAAGAATTTCTATTTTTGTAATGAAAAAATTAAAAAGTTAATTTTCGACGTTTATAACTTCAAGTACGACAGTGTTACTGTTTACTTGGAGAGCCCTATGCTTTAGTGGTTGATAATAAATCGATATTATTAGGTAACTTGATGAATTGGCGCTTGAATCATTGTATTCTATATTGTATTAAACTAGTACATTACATATCAGTTCTAGCGAGAAATTGCTTGGTGCTTATTTGCGATCTTACAAATTTATTACCAGTCCTGCAGGCTATAGCCCTAACGTTGCCCAGAAAAATGAACTAGACTATTTAGCTGGCTTAAATGTAATTTCGGATACAGATTTTTGGATAATTTGGAATTTAAAGAAGCCATACAAGCATTAACATCTCTAAAAATCTTTAATAGGCTGAAATTGGTCTACAAAACTCTTCGTCATATAATGTCAGGTTTTTCACATGATATTTTTTCTTATTTAGTCAATTGAACATTATCAATCAATATATTAATTAATTTCTCGTTTAAATTTTTATTCGTATTGATTTAAAATTCTCTCAAGCACATAATTAATAGATCGAGGCTCAATTTCTAATTTGTGGAAAGTGTTTAACCGGTTCATTATCTCGATGAAAAAAAAGGGTTATTTCACGATCTCAGTAGCTAACTAATTACATTGAGAGCACCATTAGTCTCTAAATTTAGCGATCATTTATTTCTAAGTATCGATCCGTTTACTATGATTTAATTCACGCTCAATTTCATCATGTGGAAACAATGCCGCAGGAATAAATATTGTTAACATTACGATCAGTCCAAAGAATTATTTAATATGGGCTGTTTAACTCTATCCACATTAGCCTGTATAATTATTATCTACCAAGAACATTCTAATTATGCAGATTAGTATGATCAGATCTGTACGGCATGGGGTGTGAAATACCCCTATATTTAATACCGGCGTTATGTATCATTAGGGTTAGCATTAGAAATTATGGTGGATTGGTATGATATGTTTTTTAAAGAGGTTTTCTTACGCTCTATACTATATACATCTAACATCATGAAATTTCTTGTTTGTTTAAATTATAGTGCATCGTATCAATATTGTTCTGCTGTATTTAGTTGTCTGAATTCGAAACAATATATAACTATTCTGTATGCTTATATTCATCCATTCCTGGTTTAGCACGACAATGTCGCGCAGCTACTTATATCATAAAAAATCTGATCATGACTAAGCTAATCGTGTAAAATCTATATAACATGTGATATTTAAATTTCACTTGTAAATTGATGCAAATGTATGCATATATTGCATCTGGTATCACCTTCACGACCCTTATTATTTATAACACGTTAATTATGGATGCCTCCTTATTCATTTGCCTTTTTCTTTACTCAACTTCCACCATGGTTAAACATTATACTACAGCCAATTTAAAGCGTAGTCTCGTTCGTAGTGCTAGAAGGAATAATAATAATAATAATAATAATAATAATAATAATAATAATAATAATAATAATAATAATAATAATCATAATAATCATAATCATAATAATAATAATAATAATATATTTTTTTTTTTTTTAATGTTGAAGGTAAGACCATAATAATAATAATTATAATCATAATAATCATAATAATCATAATGAAGTTATCATCATTTCTGATAATGAAGAAGAAGAAAAAACTTTACAAGAGGCTGTTATATATCCATATACTTTTGGTTCTGAAGCAGCAGGTTTTTTTACTGAAAAAAGCAGGTATTTAGAAGATTAAATAAAATATTTATAATAAACAAAAAATAATAATAGATAATTAAATAAAATAAATAAAAAAAATTATATAGGTGTTATTGCGAATATAAAACTTTGTTGACACAGTTAGGAGCTCTTAACCAAGAAATTAGAAGATTTTAATATATTGTTCAAGAGGAGCGGGCCCATGAGTTAATGAGTTAAAGAGTAGCATTAAACTATAGAATAGAATGCTTGAAGGCATTTTGCACATATAAAGGATATAAACTTGAATAATAATTTGTAATTCTGTATTTATTTTTTTTTATTTTTTTTTAATAAAGTTAAATATATATATATTTTTTTATAAAGTAAAATTTAAAGGTTTGAAAATTTTCTATTTTTTTTAAGAATTTTTTTTGAAAATTCTAATTTTTTATAATAATAAAAGATTGCCAATTTAGTTTTTTATAGTATTTTGTAAGTTAGTTACTATTATAGTACAGTACTTTTTTAATGTTTTTCCTAAAGCTTCAATTTATTATATATATTTTTTTTGAGTTTCAATGGTAGCTACTTTATTATGTCTGAATAGTTAAGTATTTACATAGTAGTACAGCAGCCTAGTCTATATATTTCTATATATCCCAGGTCTCTCCTCGTAGTGTTACAGTTTTCAAACTTACTGCACCCTCTATTTATATGTAAAGCATCACACAGCTACTCTAAGATGCCCATATATAACTATTTAGCTACTGATTTACCTCTTCTTTGGCCACTAACTTACTAGAGAATTACTTGCCAGATTAACAGAAGGCAGTGCAGATACATCTATTTACCCAGCAAGATCTGCAGATCGAGTAATGTTCAACAATAATCTACGACTAATCATCATTGATCTCATATTAATGTTTACTAATTTTTGACTTTCATTTAATTGGTTGATTCGAACTAATTTTTGCAAGTTTAATAAATATTACAGAACAACTGTGAAAGCAAAGTATTAAAAGAATATCGAATGCCCAAAATAACGTATATTTACTTTAAAATAAAATACTTTTATTAGTATAAATATACACTATATAACAGAAATAGTTAAATAAAAAAATAAATTTAATTTAACACATATAGATCAACTTTAGATCTAAATATTAATAATAATACTTTTTTTTTATATTGTGAGATGAATATATAGAAATGTGAGTAACAAATAAACTTCGTTAATAATAAATTAAAGCGCCAAATACTACAGTTGACTTTTTCTTATAATAAGCTAGTAAAAATTTTAAAGTTCTTTATAAAATAACTTGTTTTTATAAAAATTTCAAACTTGTAATAAAAGATTTATTATGTTCAGAGCCGAATTGTAGTTAAAAATAGAATACTTTCATAATATAATTTAATATCTTTGAAGTTTTATTTTTTATTTATGATGTTCTTTAATTTATAACTTATTAGTATTTATTACTTCATGACATTATCTATATTTATTATTATTATTATTTTTTTTTTTTTATTCTTTGACAGTCTTGTCGATGCTCAAATACAAATTATATTACTATTAGACTACAAAACAAAGTTTCAAAAATTCTATAATATCTAATTAAAAAATTACAAACCTGACATTACCCGGCTACATTATGTGCACCCAGATGTAATGTGTCGCACCAACCTGTAAACAAGTTAGATAAACTTTGTCAGCCCGTCAAAGCTTTTTTCTTCATATTCTCTTTCTTTACCAAGAGCAAAAGAAAGTAATAATCTTATATCTAGTACAAAACTACCAATAGTACCAAGAAAACAAAAAGAAAAACTAACTAAAAAAAACAAATAGAATGAAGAAGAATTTTTAAAGGAAAAATAAAAGGAGGTACAATGAAATATAAAAAAAAAAAAAAGCCTGAGGGCTAACAAAGGGAGGAACTACTTCTATCAAGAAGTAGTACAAATAGAACGAAAGAAAAAGGAAAAGTACACTATTATAACCTGTGCCAGGTTTAAAAAAAAATTTTATAACAACTGCAACATTATATATATCTCAACTATAAAACCTAACAATTTTTATCCAACTACCGACCATCTCCAGATGTCTTTCTTACCAGAGACCTGATCCCAGTTACATGAAGAACCCGTATTCATAGACTACGTCGTGTATCGTATTCACCGATAAACAAGACACGTGGTTGCATTCCTGGGTATGTTCGAATTTGGGAAGTAAACAATGCTGATCTTTTGGAGGGGGTAAGCCAAATTGTCAAAAATTTTGAAGAAGACCAGCTGAGCGAAAAACACTTAGGGAGAGATCACTTGTACCCAAGGAAAGTAGTTATATCCATATAAAGACTCAACCACTCCTTAACCTT